CATTATAAGGAATGAATAATGCATTATAAGAAACCTTATAATATGTTGCATCATCTTATAAATAATCGTAAGAACAGTTTTAATGTATTATAATACTTATTTGTGGTTAAGCGTATGATGATTTATAACACACAATGAACACATTGCATCCACTTAAGTTACAATGGATTATATTTCTCATAGTTATAATGTATTATAGGTCTCATATCTTGCCAGTGTTTAAGATCTGCACAATAACTTAGTACATCTTATTTGTGTTTTTACTTTAAAATAACAAATACAAAGTCTTCATTAAAACATTCAAAAATGCTTTAATGTGGTCTTATTGTTATTAAGTGCTCTTTGTCTGCTTTAAGTGTGTATATTTGTGTGTGTGTTTGTGTGGTTTCCACAAAGAAATGTAGAAAACACAAAATATAACAACACTGTAGCACCTCACTGTATTAAATTAGCCTATACATTTTACATATAAATCACATTTCTTATCAATATACATTTAATGATTAACAATAAAGATTAATAATAAGGAAAAGAGGCACATTACAAATAGCCTACGTCGTTGAAGCCTGTCCTACTGTAGATAAACAGAACATCCCCGCTTATTAACTAACAATAATGTACCTCAAAGAAGCACAAATAAAGATATAGGTGCAAACAGAATACAGTGACGTCAACCTTGGTTTTAATAAGCAGTTATTATTTTATGACACAGAACGCGTTGGTGAAACTCATGCATCTAGCAAGAACTTAATACACAAAATAGTCATATTGATTCAAGCATTTAACATTTATGAATGAATTAAATGTCAGTAGCCTAATGAACAATACTGTACAAATTATAGCGATCACAAGGTTCATATTCTATCCCAAACGCGTACAGTAAATACAGTATAGCCTACAACACCCCATCAGTTATATTCAGGTCAATAGTGCCACCTGTTGGCGCAGTTTTGTAACTTAGAGAACAACTTTTTTATGTCGAGATCACGAGAAAATAAGTCGTTATAACGAGAAAACAAGAAGCGAAAAAAAATAATAATGCATGGCCGCTTAGAACTTCCGTAAAAAACCGTAATGTGATCCGAACCGTGAGATTTGTGATCCGTTGAACCACTACTTTTTAGGAGTGTTCCAAGTGGCCAAATACTTCTTGAAAAGCCTTTACTGAATGTGTTGCTGGCAATGTATTGTAGGTCCACACGGTTTTGGTAAACTCCGCAAAAAAAAAGTGAAACGTACCTTTTCAGGATACTGTATTTTAAAAATAATTTTGTAAAATCCAAATAGGCTTTACAGATCTTATACTTGTTCAACAAACAATTATTGCACATGCAATGTAAAACACACCCCATAAGTTCTGAAACCAAATAAAACCATTTTATTAATTATAAATTGATACATAACTAATAATCGTGTATAATTAATTATAGGCCTATATTTCAAATAATTAAAATAACATTTTAATTTAATTGTACTTTTTATTTCAGACCTTGTACCGTAAACACTGCTTAAGCGTCACATAAATAACTGCAAAAAATCAGTCACATTGTCAAGATTCTTGACCACTGTATAAATTGGATGAAAATGGAAAATTATTGACAGGTGTAGGGGTGTAGCACGCGTTTCTTTTTGTAGTCGCTGGAAAATGACGCCACCGAACCGAGGCGTATATAAGAGGCCGTGCCCCGCAGCGCGTTCTCTTGGAGTCGGTGCTGTCGCTTGACGAGGTGAGGATAGCGGCCGCGGACAATGCGGTAACAGCTCATACAATCCAGAGCAATCCAAGACATTTACACACCATCCATCGTTAACTCTAACATTATTTGTTTATTTACAGAACCATCTTCTCATCATGAGAGCGAAGGTAAGTACATTTTTCATGTAGAAGTGAAATCGAGTGTCTCGTTATTTGGCTAGTCTTGCTAGCATCTTAGTGGCTAATATAGTGTAAATTGCACTATAACATTGATGCTACTTAACTGAATATTTTACTGTAAGTTTATTTTTAACCATGTGGAATAAAGTCACTAACTGAGATATGTAGTGTTATACTCGGGCCTAGTGTGCTAGGTTACCCTGCTAATACGCTTTGTCGCAGGGAATATTGTTACCAGATTGAGCTTGCAGTCGCTGTGTATTGCGTTTTTATTATTGACTTATTTACGTTGATAGTGGTTTATTATAAATGTTAATCTTTATCGCTTCTCTTTGGTTTCTTATAACTATTCCGCCCGAACGGCCATGCTGCGTAACGTAGTGAAAATACAGCCAATAGCGCCAGTTGCGAATGCGCATGTTTAACGAGTTGCAATGTTTGTTTTTAACTGGTTAACCCCAGTTTATTAATGGTTTTACTCCTCTTGCAGTGGCGAAAGAAGCGCATGCGCAGGTAAATTTGTAACTATATAAACGGCATCTTACATTCTTTCCCTTTGGAATGGGCATGAAGTGATTGAATCCATTATTTTTTTAGGCTGAAGCGTAAAAGGAGAAAGATGAGGCAGAGGTCAAAGTAAACTGGACCCTGTTTGCTGAAGCTGAGAGTGCTCCTCCACTTTAATCTCGGCAAGAGTCTGCTGAAAGCCCAACTGAAGCTCCACTCATCCACCATCTATGAGGCCTGCTTTCTTCTGAATGAGGATTTGGTTTTCCATCACCTGGTTCTGCAGAAGCATCCTGGTCTTGACCATGTGAACTGTTTTGGACATTCCTCAAACCTGTCAGCTCAGCGAGTTTTTGTCTTCAATAAATCTTTTGGTTTAAAAAATAAAAAGTCCTTTTGGCTGTTTTCTCTTGTATGAAGTTATTGGGTTTTATTAGTGCCGTGTAAAGTTCTAAGATCTAACTAAAGTATTGCAGGAGCCAGTGTTGGAAGGCACAATGCATCTAGAAGGCTTTAATCCCGGCCTTGGTAGGCTGCGGACTCGGCCCTGCCTCACGATTCCGCTGGAAAACACGCCGTGTCTGTTCTCTGGTCCTTTGGAAAGTGCGTCGGTGCCTTATTGCCGGTCTACCTGGCTGGATATTTCGGATTCAGTATCAGTTTAGTTTTGCTCGGTCTCCTGGTTTATATGGGATGGAAACATAGTCGCGATGGAAAAAATGCGCGACTGCAAAGCGCAATGTATTTTTTAGAAAATGAGCAGGATGTCACCACTACACGGGTGTTTAGAAGTAAACGGGAATTGCCGGCATGGGTAAGGGACTTTATACCATAAATGGCATCATTCTAGTAGCCAACAGTTCAGCACCGTAGCCATCAACACATGAAATCTTCGAGCAGATAGACATGCAGGATTTCTTAGCGCTTTTCGCTGGTATTTTTGTTTACAATGAGCGTAAAAAGTGTATATTTAGCTGCTTTCGTGGCAATGACAGCTTGATTTCATGTTGTAGTTATTTACTGATATGATTTTAAATATTTAATCACCTACTCTTGCAGTGCAACCTGTTAGTAGCTATTAATTACACATCATACGCATCAGAAGTACACACGCTATTACACACTCAGTGTTCTACATTCCTTTAAAATAACATCTATTTTATCTTACAGTACTTATGTTTCTGTAATTACTAGAAATTAATCCAGTATTGACCCGTTTCCTTCATCATGCTAGTACTTATTCCAAAAGTGACTTATCTATTAGGTTAGTCACTAATACTATTAGTTACATTGCTAGTCACTATCCCATTAACAAGTAAATATTCCATTTGTAATTGGTAACCAATTGCATTTACCATTGAAATTTACTCATATCTGTAGTTTAGATATCAACCATTCACTTCTGACTACTGAGAAATGTGCATTGATTACAAAACGGTACCCATACCTGCTACTAGTTACTATCCCAATAACAAGTAAATATTCCATTTGTGACTGGTAACAAATTGCATTTACCATTGTAGTTTCTGGTGATCTGTAGTTCAGCTAACTACTTTTTACTACTCACTAGTATGCATTCAAGGAAGATGTAAGTTCACTGAAACGTGTTCATTACAAACTAGTACCTATACTTGCTACTAAGTCACTTTATTGGGATAGTCACTATCCCAATAAAAAAATACTAATATTACATTTGTGACTGGTAACCAATTGCTTTTTCCATTGAATTTTATGGGGACTGTAGCTCAGATATCAACTCTTTGGTTCTGCCTAGTATTTCAGTTTTACAAGTAACTGACTACCCGTCCTTACTTTTTATTTAGTAATATTCAAATAGTTGATGGCACCATATCAGTTTTTCTAGCAGTAGTAGAATAGATACAGGTACGTGTTTATTAGGCGCTAATGTGTATTCCAGTTCATAGCAGTAATTACAAAAAAATTAACTATAAAGTAGTTATTCTGACTGTAAGTTAAATTTAAAAAAAAATCTGTTTTGTAACCAGTGAGATGCTTCACTATCATTGATTTTACATACAGAAGGTTTCTTTCATTTTGTTAACGGGGAACTATAGTTTCGGTACTATATTTATAATATATTACGACATTATCTGTAGTCAGAATGCGTGTTCATACCCCTGTATTGCTTCATCGTCATAGCGAGAGCTTCTTTCAGCCAACTCTGCCAATCAAAGTTGACAGTTTTCTCCCTTTCATAAGCATCCAGCACACTCCCTGACAGAGTTCATATTTATATTCTCCTTACCTCCCTCCTTTCATCCCCCGTCCCTCATTAACTTCATTACATTCCAAAGTCAGTCCAGCCCTTGCTATATTTGGACATTGAAGTATCCAACCTCATGGGACTGAGTCACCAGCAG